TTTTAACTCCTCTTTATTCTTCAAAATCGTACATATAGTCGATTTAGCCATCCCATATTCATCACTAAGTTTCGCAATGCTTCTTCCATTCTCACGTTTCTTTATAATTTCTTTCTTAGTTTCAAGGGTTATTAGCTTTCTCACTCGCTTTGGATGACTCATTGTTACAATTGTATACTTGTATAACAAAATAGTTATACAAATAACGCGAATTTCCACATCAAAAGACGAAATTTCAACAATAACAGTGGTGCACTGGCTACACAATGAGACAAAGATGGCGCCTGACGCTCTTGTTGTGGGTCGCGGTACAACAATATTCATGCGCTAGGCGAAATAGTCTCGTATTCATCCGCGTTCGTTGTAGGAGTTGCGTTCGTTATAGCATTCTCAATTTTATAGGTAAAACCGTTCGTTATAGGAATATTCGTAGTAGGATCCGTTCGTTATAGCATACCCCACTGTAGTTTGAAAACTTGATCTTAGAAAATTAAAATAAGTTTGTAGCCCGATTTTCACACGTCAAGGTGTAGAGTAACAGAGTTTGTGATATATCTGTGTGAGTGGAATCAGAGTTGTGAGACGCGGGATGAGCAGAGCGAGGGACTTCACTCATCCAGCGAATCTCCTCTGTGACACAGGTGGTTGTGTAGGCCAGGACAACCCCAACCCTAGTATTGGAGATGGATGACAGCCATTGAGATCGAATAACGTCATGTAACACGTTGTACGGGGAACTGAGTCGTATCACATACAGCCAGCTGCAAGGAGGAGGTGGTTGTACTGTGGTTGCTGTCTAGCCAGGATCTCCCATGAGAGTACTCAACCAGTTCATAGTAGCAGTGTGTGTGTTGAATGAGCTCACAAGTAAAGCTACTTATTAGCCGTGTTATCCATCCGAGTATCCATGTATGTAATCTCCTCAGTTGTACAGATGTTTGGAGACAGCAAGAGTATAAGGTCGCCACTTATTTCTTGGCGAATGTAGCAAATTAGTGGAGAGAAGCTACTAAGCCTGGTGCTGTTAAAATATTAGTTTTGGTGCTGTACTGGAATCCTGTTACTAATTAAGAGCTACAGTTCTCAGGTAACTTGTATTGCTGGTGCTCAAGAGTGATATCTGTAAGATTATGAGTTGTGTGTTCTTTTAAATGTACACCAAGTAATGGTGTAAGTTGGAAAATGTACCTCATGAAAAGTACAAGATGAGTGGGGCCAGGGAGTCGATCCTTGTAGTGGTGTTACTGAAAGTATTTATAAATCAGTTCATTTTAATAAACCACTTTATTTGTATGTTAGGGGTGTCATTCTCCTGCAGTATTTTGCCTTCATTCTTTCCCATAACTTGGTACCAGTATTACAGTACACAATGTGTCCTAGTCCTCGAGCCAACACTACCACAGGTCAGAGATTGTGGGTTAACTAGGAGCAGTAAAATAACTAACATATGGAATTAATGAAGTAAGAAATTGAGAGAAAAAAGGTTGAGTTAAGAAGCCAATTTGAAGGAATGAGGTGTGTTATACAGTGAATTAATGTACTCCCCCTTACAACTTCGTGACATTGAATCTTAACAGCTATTCCCTCAGCCACTCCTGAAACTGACAGAGATCTTTCTGCAGCTCTTCACTGTCTGTTTTGTTCTTAATTTCCCTGAATAAATTGGCATCGTCTAAAAACATTTGTATGGAGGAGTGTATAGCTTCTGGCATGTCATTTATGAAGCAAACAACAAGAGGCCCAATACACTGTCCTGTGGTACCTCACTTGTAACGGGTACACATGACAATTTTGTGCCATTAATCACCACACATTGCTTGTGGTCATGAAGAAAGTCTCCAGTCCATGTTATGACACTTTCCTGAAACCCGTATCCTACCAATTTTATTATCAGCCTCTCATGGGGTACGCTGTTGAAAGCCTGGGTACAGTCTAAATATATATTGTCAATATTACCACCAAGCTCCAGGCTCTTTTTTCTTTTTACTTTAACTTTTATCCTTTTTGCCAGTGATCGGCTCATCAGTCGCTTGGGCGGTCGGTCACGTCCCTGTTACGTACTGCTGGCAAATACTGGAATCCACACATCCTGCATTTTAAGTAACTGCATCAAGCACGAGCATCCCGGCATGCTGCTCCCTCATGGCATTTCTTATAATGCTCTCTAGTACTTTAAACACTATGCTGGTCAGGCTCACTGGTCTATATTTATTCAAGGAGTGATGATCGCCCTTCTTGAATATAGGACTCACAAAGCCATTTTCGAGTCACTGGGGACCTTTTTGTTCATCCAGGTGTACTGCGCACATCATTGTCATCCTTAATATCTCTTTTATTCATATTACGCTACATAACATTCAAATCCACCGTGCTTGTACAGTCACAGAAAATGGTGGAAAACAGGAAACTTTGGTAAAGGATAACTCACCTACAGTATGTTGTTTTATACGAATTGTACCAAGGTACGGTCATATAATATTAAGAGTATGTACTCATAGGATTAAGGAGAACTCAAGGTATCTATAGGATGATTGGGAAGGTCCAATTGATACGGACTAGTGTAGTATAAGGGATAAGTGTAGATCGTGTTTGAAGGTCATACTATTTACGTCTGTGAACGATTAGTGAACATAGTTACTGCAGGTATCAGATGAAAATATAAGAGAACACTGATCTGGAAAAAGGATAAATGTATCAGACCTATGTGAAGTGTTGGAAGTGATCCAGAAACTACACTTCAAAGAAAATATCTTGTATGCCTCGGTGTGAGCTTAATACACCTCGTTATCTCATGTGACGAATAACCATGAACAACGCAATGATCAGAGAATCTTATGAATGTGTTCAACGATTGCAACGTGTGAGGGGAGTGTAGGTTATGTATCTAAGCTACTGTGCCGAGTAGCAACCTTGTATATAAGCTACTGTGCCGAGTAGCACCTATGTATATAATTACGTGGCAACACTGCACGTGTTATGTGACAACATTGCCCCGAGGATGCCATATGGCAAGGCAGTCTCAGTCTGACTTCGTGGGCCGTGCATGGCACACGCTAGTCACCACTTGTATTTCTCCTATCCGAATAAATGGACTTCAGTGTTACCCGGTGTTTCCCTACCCATCACTGCATTCTTCAGGGAACACTTGGAACCTTCAGGGAGGATCCCTAAATACAGATTGAAGTGAAGTGGATATACACACGCCATGGAAATACGACGCTAGGCTTTGTCTATGCTGGCTCCCATTCTGCCCCGGGCTACAGCTTTGAGTTAATGATATAGCCCAATTAATTTCCCCAGGAACTGGCAAACCAGATCCTTACTTTAGTATGTAATTTAGGATTAAGATATATAATTATAAGGCATAAGGTCACAATAGATAGGAAAGTGTATATGTGAGAACCAGAATAATATCAAAGTGAAAATTAAAGATTGGAAACAGTAGGCCTAGTTCAGTGAGAGACGCGAGGCGTCGTCCTTAGTAATGCCACGTCTCTCACCAAAACAGGTCAGCGAGCTACATCATGCTCCATTAGGCCCTAAAAAGACTTATCTAGCAGTTTTTTACATCTTAAAACCTTGCCTAATGTTATAAAGTGAAGTAATAGTTACATTAATGCGTGGTGATAAAAGCCCATCAGGCATTACCCTTAGTAACGCCACGTCTCTCACCAATACAGGTGCGCACGTGTCCAGAGCGTCAGCCAGGCCACCATCAAACACCACTGTGAGGGACTCACCGGGTATGGTGTGTTCTGCTTATGGCCATTATGCACCTCCACTGTGAATCTGTGGATACCCTACATACCACCACCCAGGATAGGAGAACGTAATTGTGTGTTTGAGAAGTTTCGCGGTCGCTACGTGGAGCGACCTAATAATACCAGGCGTGGAACCAGTACTGGTATGATTACCTGGGAAGTATCCCATCTACTCAGCAAGAGTACAGTGTGAACGAGGTACTTGGTATGTGTACCTAAGAATACCGAAGAGTCCCATACTTGTAGGTGTGGAGTGTACCTGAGCTGTGGTGCTATGATATAACATGTGGTGCTATACTCTAACAGGTGGTGCAGTCTGATGTGTTGGGTGTTATGGTAAGAAGGAATGACCAAGGTAAGGAGGTCATTGGTTGTTGTGAAGAATGAAGATGATAATAGTAGTTATTTGATGAAGGACGTATATATTGATGTGAAGTGTAATGAATATAATAGTGATTCTTCTGATGTAGGCCAGCTCTTTTTGTATTGTGACGGGATACAATATGTTTATATAAGGAATAAATTAGTTAAGTCATGATTGATGTTTCACCCTTCTTCCCACTCTCGATTTGGTCAATGAAAAACCCAACCCAATGCCTAGCTTACTCTGCCCGCTACCTAACGAGCTACATACTGTCCAGGGGGTCTGGTGGCAGCGACCTTAAAATTAAAAGTAGAGTTAAGTTATCCCGTTAGAATTAGTGACCCCAGAATCTGGCAGTATACAGGCACCTGCAGAACAGGATCTTATGGGGCTCATTAAGCTCGTTTACAACTCTCTTAATTGTTAAGGAAGTGAGGTAAACCAGTGAAGGGATAATGTATATGGTGGAGGCATCAGTGAAGGAAGTACTGTATAGTGGAGGAATCAGCGAAGGAAGTACTCTTTATAGTGGAGGCATCGGTGAAGGAAGTACTGTATATAGTGGAGGCATCAGTGAAGGGAGTACTGTATATAGTGGAGGCATCAGTGAAGGAAGTTCTGTATAGTGGAGGCATCAGTGAAGGAAGTACTGTATAGTGGAGGCACCAGTGAAGGACAAACCCATGTCTGTGTTACCCGGCTGCTGTACATATATGACAGCTACTTTACACATTCTTAAGTCAACTTTTACAGCACGTTCACTAATGATGATTGATGGTAAGAAAAAAATTATCTCATGTGATAAAATATGAAATAACTTTCAACAGGATTTTAAAATTATAACAAGTAAGACGAGTTAATATACTGTACAGTACCTTCATACTACGTCTCTTGTGGTCCACACAGTCCAGCTGAGGATATGCCTGACGCAGCTCATCTACAGTTGTTGTGTTGCAGAAACCAAGGTTGTGGGCTATTTCTTGAGTAGGACCTTGGCCCGATATCAGCACTTGCTTGTTCAGATACTGGTCAAACATCTTGAGTGGGGAGTGTGCCATCACCACTTGGTCTTCATGAACCTGGGAAACAAATTAGGAAGAAGTTATGTTTGGGTCAAGTGTAGGTGAAAAATAAATCATTGGAGCATCTTAGAATATTAACCATATAATCTAAAGGTGCACAAGAAGGAGCCTGAAAAAAATGCTTTCTGCTGGACACTTTTTGTACAATCCTGGATGTTAGGATTGAAATAATTATGATCAGAACTACAGAAGGACAGGAGCCGGTCAAGTTACCTCATCAACTAGGAACTTACCTCAATTCCCAGCCACTGTGAAAGCTGGTCCGCCTTCTCACTCCGCAGGGCATTACCAGCATTTGTGACGAACACAGTTGGAATACAAAACTTGTTGGATTTATCAACCAGCAAGTTAAATGCCTCAGGTGCTGTGGGCAGGATACGCTTCCCTCTGATTATTACACCATCTATGTCGAACAGTAGACCGAAATTTGGAGTTTTTCTTGTGACCTGAAGAAGTAAAAAATTAAAAATACAAATAAATCATTCATACTGTAAGCACAATTGAGAATTACCACAAAAGTTCAATTAAACCTATACAGTAATCATAACCTTACCACAGGGAACAAATTCATCAAAAAAAAAACTTTCCATTCAATAAATCCAAATGATGTACTGAAGATACTATAGTGTACAAACTAAGTAGTTGTACCCCACTTAACGCGGTCAATTGAACCCAGAGGGTACTGCTTTAAGTGAAATCCGCGTTAAGTGAACAACAGAACATATGGGATTAATTCCAATAGAAACCGGCCCGACCCCCAAACTCCACTTTTTGAAGGCACATACCTATGTTGTAGTAAAAATAACATCTTAATTTTATGATGGTACATGCACACAATTAATACTTAAGAGAAATAGAGAAATACAGTCGCAAAGTTAATGTTCATTCAAATAATGGACTCAACTCCCTCCCCCTCTTCTCACACTCCTGGCTCTTCCCTCTCTGAAAAATGTTTGGCGGAAAACCACAGGTATAGTAATAAATAATACCTCAAACTAAAGTTAGGATAATATAATTGACATTGCTGGATTCCTTGTAAGACCAGGAATATTTTGAATATAAATGTCATATATTTTGCACAAAAGATAACATAGTTACCTAGAGAAAATTTTTTATCTAAAATTTGTATGTTTAATGCAAAATATATGATGTTTATATTAAAATGATCACCAAATTATAAGAATTCCAGCAATGTAAATTATATTCTGACCGGGTAATTTGTATGAATTTTATGAGCTAAAACAAATATCTTCAGTTAATAAAAAAAAAATAATCTTCACGACACTATCTGTCAATCAAAGTACCCCACCTTGCCTCCCCCCCTCTTCCAACCGCGTGGTCAGTCCCAACCCTCCCCCCCACCAATCCTCCCTTCCAGAGTTTTTAACATTTAGTATTAAATAATACCTCAGATTAAAGTTAGGATAATATAATTGACATTGCTGGATTCCTTGTAAGACCAGGAATATTTTGAATATAAATGTCATATATTTTGGACAAAAGATAACATACTTACTCAGATTAAACATTTTATCTAAAAATTGTATGTTTAATGCAAAAAATATGTTGTTTATATTCAAAATGATCACCAAATTATAAGAATTCCAGCAATGTAAATTATATTCTGACCGGGTAATTTGTATGAATTTTATGAGCTAAAACAAATATCTTCAGTTAATAAAAAAAAAATAATCTTCAACACTATCTGTCAATCAAAGTACCCCACCTTGCCTCCCCCCCTCTTCCAACCGCGCGGTCAGTCCCAACCCTCCCCCCAACCCCCCACCAATCCTCCCTTCCAGAGTTTTAACATTTAGTATTAAATAATACCTCAGATTAAAGTTAGGATAATATAATTGACATTGCTGGATTCCTTGTAAGACCAGGAATATTTTGAATATAAATGTCATATATTTTGCACAAAAGATAACATAGTTAATTTGAGAAAAATTTTTATCTAAAATTTGTATGTCTAATGCAAAAATATGATGTTTATATTCAAAATGATCACCAAATTATAAGAATTTCAGCAATGTAAATTATATTCTGACCGGGTAATTTGTATGAATTTTATGAGCTAAAACAAATATCTTCAGTTAATAAAAAAAAATAATAATTCTTCACAGGGTAACAGATGGTCGGTCGGTCCCTCCCTCCCCCCCACCCCCCACCAACCGTCCCAAGGAGATGTGTGGGATAACCACTAAATTTTAATAAATAATACCTCAAACTAAAGTTAGGATAATATAATTGACATTGCTGGATTCCTTGTAAGACCAGGAATATTTTGAATATAAATGTCATATATTTTGCACAAAAGATAACATAGTTACTCTGAGAAAAATTTTTATCTAAAATTTGTATGTCTAATGCAAAATATATGATGTTTATATTCAAAATGATCACCAAATTATAAGAATTCCAGCAATGTAAATTATATTCTGGCCGGGTAATTTGTATGAATTTTATGAGCTAAAACAGGCAGTCAGGCAGGGTGGCGGGTGGGGCAAATCTAAAAATAGCGTCTCGAGCCGGACACTCACCGCGTATATGTGGAAAAAATCCGTGTTAAGTGAAAGTTCAGCTCTGGCGAGGCACCGCGTATATGATAAAACGCGTTAAGTGAAACCGCGTTAGGCGGGGTAATACTGTACAGTAACTAAACGCCCTCTTCTGTTTAATCTATACAGAATGATCAAGAGGTTACCAATTATGTTGTATATATTGATAAATTAATCATGATGAACTTGTTACATTACTACCATCATCTACCATAACTGTACCATGATCTACCATAACAGTGTACCATGATCTACTATAACAGTGTACCATCATCTACCATAACTGTACCATCATCTACCATAACTGTACCATCATCTACCATAACTGTACTATCATCTACCATAACAGTGTACCATCATCTACCATAACAGTGTACCATCATCTACCATAACTGTACCATGATCTACTATAACTGTACCATGATCTACCATAACTGCACCATGATCTACCATAACAGTGTACCATCATCTACCATAATTGTACCATCATCCACCATAACTATACCATCATCTACCATAACAGTGTACCATCATCTACCATAACTGAACCATCATCTACCATAACTGTACCATGATCTACCATAAAAGTGTACCATCATCTACCATAACTGTACCATCATCTACCATAACAGTGTACCATCATCTACATAACTGTACCCATCTACCATAACAATGTACCATCATCTACCATAGCTTTGTACCATCATCTACCATAACTGTACCATGATCTACCATAACAGTGCACCATGATCTACTATAGCAGTGTACCATCATCTACCATAACTGTACCATCATCTACCATAACTGTACCATCATCTACCATAACAATGTACCATCATCTACCATAACTGTACCATCATCTACCATAACTGTACCATCATCTACCATAACTGTACTATCATCTACCATAACAGTGTACCATCATCTACCATAACAGTGTACCATCATCTACCATAACTGTACCATGATCTACTATAACTGTACCATGATCTACCATAACTGCACCATGATCTACCATAACAGTGTACCATCATCTACCATAATTGTACCATCATCCACCATAACTATACCATCATCTACCATAACAGTGTACCATCATCTACCATAACTGAACCATCATCTACCATAACTGTACCATGATCTACCATAAAAGTGTACCATCATCTACCATAACTGTACCATCATCTACCATGCAACAGTGTACCATCATCTACCATAATCAAACACATCATCTACCATAACTGCAACAAGCCCATCATCTACCATAACTGTACCCATCATCTACCATAACAGTGTACCATCATCTACTCATAACCAGCCCATCATCTACCATAACTGTACCATCATCTACCATGCAACAGTGTACCATCATCTCCCATAATCACCATCATCTACCATAGCTACCATCATCTACCACAACTGTACCATCATCTACCATAACAGTGTGTACCATCATCTACCAACTGTACCATCATCTACTATAACAGTGTACCATCATCTACCATAACAGTAAAAAATACCATTCATCATAACTGTACCCACATCATCACTATAACTGTAATACTATCATCTACCATAATGAGTACCTAATATCTACCATAACTGTACTATCATCTACCATAACAGTGTACCATCATCTACCATAACTGTACTATCATCTACCATAACTGTACTATCATCTACCATAACAGTGTACCATCATCTACCATAACAGTGTACCATCATCTACCATAACTGTACCATCATCTACCATAACAGTGTACCATCATCTACCATAACTGTACCATCATCTACCATAACAGAGTACCATCATCTACCATAACTGTACTATCATCTACCATAACAGAGTACCATCATCTACCATAACTGTACTATCATCTACCATAACAGTGTACCATCATCTACCATAACTGTACTATCATCTACAATAACAGTGTACCATCATCTACCATAACAGTGTACCATCATCTACCATAACTGTACTATCATCTACCATAACAGAGTACCATCATCTACCATAACTGTACCATCATCTACCATAACAGTGTACCATCATCTACCATAACAGTGTACCATCATCTACCATAACAGTGTACCATCATCTACCATAACTGTACCATCATTTACCATAACAGTGTACCATCATCTACCATAACTGTACTATCATCTACCATAATAGTGTACCATCATATACCATAACTGTACCATCATCTACCATAACAGTGTACCATCATCTACCATAACTGTACTATCATCTACCATAACAGAGTACCATCATCTACCATAACTGTACTATCATCTACCATAACAGTGTACCATCATCTACCATAACTGTACCATCATCTACCATAACAGAGTACCATCATCTACCATAACTGTACTATCATCTACCATAACAGTGTACCATCATCTACCAAAACTGTACTATCATCATACATCATAACCATAACTGAGAGTACTCATCATCTACACTATAATCTACCATAAGTGTACCATCATCTACCACCTATCATCTACAATAACAGAGTACCATAACTGTACTATCATCTACCATAACAGTGTACCATGATCTACATAACAGTGTACCATCATCTACCATAACTGTACCATCATCTACCCATCATCTACCATAACTGTACCATCATCTACCATAACTGTACTATCATCTACCATAACAGTACCATCATCTACCATAACTGTACCATCATCTACCATAACAGTGTACCATCATCTACCATAACAGTGTACCATCATCTACCATAACAGTGTACCATCATCTACCATAACTGTACCATCATTCACTATAACAGTGTACACATTACCATCATCTACCATAACAGTGTACACATTACCATGATCTACCATAACAGTGGACCATGATCTAC